AACCCCCCTCCTTGTATGCCTCTCTCTTCTATTCTCGACCCCTTTTCTCTCCTCAACTTTCCTAGCCTAAAACCTCTCGCCATTTCTATGGCTTCCCTCCTACCTAGATCCTAGCTTACTTTAACATGGTAACAGAGCAGGTCGCCCTTCCCGGGCCTGCTCCCTACGCTTCCGCCGCACACTCCTCGTCTTCCTCTCACGCTGCCATGGCGGCCGCGTCGTGCTGATGTGGTGGCGTCGTCGTGCCGCTGACCGCATCGTGTCGCGGCCATCTCAACGCGCTGCCGTGGCGTCGCGCTGTCGTGGCGTCGACGTCCAGCCGCCGTGGCGGCGTCGTCGACGTCCAGCCGTGGCGGCGTGACGGCGCCGTCGTGCTGCCGTCGCAGCAACAACTTCCCGCCGTGGCATCGACGCCGCACTGTGGCAGTGTCGTAATGCTGCGGTGGCGGCGCCGTCGGGCGGCAGCCGGCCACGCAACGCCTGTGGCGCCGCTAGACCTGCCGCCCGCTCGCCTGCCACGGGCGTGATTCTGGACCACGCCCCCCCCCCCCGCCACCCCCTCCTTCCCCTGCGTCCCCTCTTCCTTGCCACAGTCGTCGACTGCCTCGTGAGGGCCTTCCCATAGCTGTTATGAGATTGGCCATGCCGCCGAGAGGGCGGGGGCCGCTGCAGCCACCTCTGACGTTGAAGCCGCCGCCGCCGCCGCTGTTGCCGCTGGCCAGTTGCCGCCGCACACCGCCGCCGTCGCTCTCGTCACTGCTGTGCCTGCTGCCATTGCCATCTCCCGGGCCATGGATATTCCAGAGTCATCACGGCTGCTGCTGGAAATGGGGGTGCTAGGTTAGGGGGTGTGGGTGTGTGTGGGTTCTACTACTACCAAGCCTAGGGGGTGTGTTAAATTATATATTTTGTTATATAATTGGTAGGCTTGGTAGGTGTTATTGAAACCTACTGTAGAGGGTACAACCCCCTTCCTTGTATGCCTCTCTCTTCTATTCTCGACCCCTTTTCTCTCCTCAACTTTCCTAGTCTAAAACCTCTCGCCATTTCTATGGCTTCCCTCCTACCTAGATCCTAGCTTACTATAACACCTGGTTCATACTTTACTTGCTTGTACTTGTTGCTCTATACCTGCTTGCATTGCTACACTTACTGACTCGCCTTGTGGCCTTTTTTCTCAATGGTCAGACTAGTAGTGCTGCCCTGGTGTACTCTGCCTTGTTATGAACTGCCGCTACCTAAGCTAGGGGTTGTGTCAACAAATATACTTATAGGTTAGCTATGTTACATTTGTTATAGCCTTAGTTTGGACTGTTCTTAGAGGGTACAACCCTACCCCCGTACCCCTCGACATTTCTCCCTTAGAGAAGATTCTCTCGATAACCTAGCAAAGTTGACTGGAGAAGGTGAGGTACAAAAATATGTGTAAAAGTTGTTCTCTATATGAACTGCCTCTAACTAGGCTACAATGTTTATATATTTTCTTATCATACAAATATAAATATATGAACGCTAACAATTCAAGCATGAAAGTGTAAGGCATGTGGAATGTATGCGGCTCGTTAGGAGACTACATTTGGGTGCCGCGATTTGAATTTCGTGGCAGACTGCGCGGTAACCCCGTTATAGCAGTGTACACCTTACTATTTAAAACCTGGAATAAGGAAATACCATTTCCTTATAGAATTCCAATGTTTGCGCCTGGTTAGAATGCACTCCTATATTTTCCTAGGGCATAATTTGTATAGCATGTTCATATTCACTTCAGTCTATACCCTCACTAGTTGCACCTCTGCAAACAAGCTGCCCGTAACCAACTCCTTCAAACGGAGTGCGCTGCGGCTTGCAATTTGGGCTGCGGGCGCCCATAGGGCATTGGGCGGGCGCCCTCACATCCTCACCTTCGAATCTGCACCACGCTATACCACACAGTGTCCCGCTAAATTCGAGAGCACCGTGCGCAATCGCTATCTGAAAACCAGTAGCAGCGTTCTCCTCTTCTGAACAGAACGCACTGGCCCCTCTGCTTTCAAACCAGAATGTACCAACCCCTAAATTGAGGCTAGGCTCCTCACCTTTCAGCCCTGGTTTGGAGGGTGTGTGTGACTCGTCCACCTCCACGCCAGAACCCAGAAGCTTCCCGTCCCATTCTGGCATGCTGCCAGGAACTGCAGGCCTCCTTCCCCACGCCACACGGCGGAGGCACATAGAAATACGACGCCCATCGCGCAGCACAACGCCTTGAGAAGACGGCTCGAACGTTGAGAGCTGGCCTTGGGAGGGATTTTACCGAGTCGTCGAGAGTAGCATCGCTTATTTCCAGCGAGCCTCACTCACCCTTCCGCTTCCATGCGTTACGACGATGCGCTGAGAGGAGGCGGTGGCGGGAGGCATCGGATTAGCACGTCCGTGCTGGCCTGCCAGCGGGAGCCAGCTTAGAGCGCACGTGTCCTCAGTCCTCATGCCCAATGTAACACATGGCCTCTGCACAGTACGTGGGCCTAGAAATAACCGTCCCAACTACCTTCCACAAATTGGCTACCTATGCTAGGTAGCGCGAGATGGGAAGGAAGGTTTGGGAGGGGAGGATTGGGATTGGTCGATACTTGGGACCAATCAGATTTTAGTTGTACAGATTGAGTTGGCGAAATTACCAGCACACGCGATGGTTGGATTTGCGACCAATCAGAATCAAGGAGTTGGTTGACAATGCCAACTCAACTTGAATATTCCTATGCTGTACACCATATGCTAATCTAAATACATTGTTGTAAACCTCTCATTGGTTGGGAATCCAACCCTTTGCCACATAAGCTAGCTCACCTCCTAGGAGCCATGGAGGAGGTTCAGCAGCTGCTGGGAGTCATTGGAAGGGGTCTGGGCTGAGAAGCTCATTCTCAACTTCCCACTCCAAGAAATCAATCTTGAAATGGGATTTTTATCGAAGTCATGAGCTCTCCTCACAAGCCTTCCAACACTAGTAGCTTCTAGTGTAGTCTCGTAGGGGAAACCCTACCCAACCAGAGCCTCAAGTCTTATTCTCCAAGAGCCTTCCTCAAGCTTAAGCTACTTCTTAAAGGAGGTTCTTCCTAAGTACAACGCTAGGAGATTGCTGGTTAACTTTGTACTTCATTATTATATCCTAGGATCTTGGATGTTGGTTTTGACTTCAACCCTTATTTGCCCATGCTATAAGGGCAAGGGTTGTTATACCCAACGACCGCAGCGGATGGCGACTATCCTGGGCATCCTCAATCCCGACGGCTCCACGTCCCTCACGCCCGTTCAGACACCCGGCCGTTCCATCCTCTTCCTCTCCGTCGGCCCCTCCCACGCCATCCACCTTAAATCCGTCGCCGAGCCCTTCCACGACAGCAACAAGCTCTTCGCCACTCTCGCAACGCTACCAGTCCGCGTGCCTGCTCCTCGAAGATGCGGGAGTGCACGATGTCTTCCGCGGCGGCAAGGACGCAGCCCCCGCGACCTTGGTCAACGCGGTCAACGCTGCGGACCTCGCAAGGGCCGACGTCGCCATGGGCTTCTCCATCCTCGTGGGCGGCCTGTGGGCGCAATCGCCCGCGCACGTAGTGGAGCACTTTTCCGCCAAGACTCGCGTTGCGCTCGCGCGTCCTGTGGGGGGGGACGAGGGGGAATGGTGTCTTGAAGTTAGGATCTAGGTAGGAATAGGTGGAGCCATGAAAATGGCGAGAGGTTTTAGGTGCTAGGAAAGTTGAGGAGAGAAAAGAGAACTAGGAAAGAAGAGAGATGGATACAAGGAGGGGTGTTGTACCCTCTACAATAATGTTCAGTAACATCTACCAAGCCTACATTTATATAATAACTTATATAATTTAACACACCCCCTAGGCTTGGTAGTAGAAGGACCCACACATCCCCACACCCCCTAACCTAGCACCCCCATTCCCATCAGCCACGACGACTCCAACAGGGCCAACCCCAAGGCCTTGGAGATGGCGACGGTGGCAGTCCCGGCAGCGGCGACAGCGATGGCGACGACGGGCGTGCGGCGGCAACAGGCCTGCGGCGACGACAGTGGCGACGGCGACGGCTTCGGCTTACGACGGCGGTGACGGCAGCGGCCCCCGCCCTTCCGGCGGCGTGTCCAAACTCCGCACCAGGGGAACGACCGGCGAGAGTCTGACGGCGGCTGTGGCGAAGAGGCGGGGACAGAGGAAAGGGGGAAGGGGCGGGGCTTCGGATCTTCAGCGCGGCGCCATTGCTGGCGCAGCGCTTACTGGCGAGCGGGCGGGCTGCATTTCCAGCAGCAACGCAGGTGGTGCGCGACGACACAGCCATGGCATCACGACGTCGCCACCACAGCGTGGCGTCGTCGCCGCGGCTGCTCGTCGACGCTGGGATGACAGCGCACAAGGGCCGCCGCGGCAACTTGGAAAAGGTGCCACGGCGGCAGGCAGTAGGAAGGCCGCGACGGCGGCGAACATGGGACGGAAACGCAGCAGAAGCGTGGCCCGTGCGATGCGACGGGGCCAGCGCGGCGCGACGGGGCCAGCGCGGCATGACGGGGAGGGAGTGCGCGGCGGAAGCGAGGGGAGCAGGCCCGGGAAGGGAACCGGCTCTGTTACCATGTCTTGAAGTTAGGATCTAGGTAGGAAAAGGTGGAGCCATGAAAATGGCGAGAGGTTTTAGGTGCTAGGAAATTCGAGAGAAAAGAGAACTAGGAAAGAAGAGAGATGGATACAAGGAGGGGTGTTGTACCCTCTACAGTAACGTTCAGTAACATCTACCAAGCCTACATTTATATAATAACTTATATAATTTAGCAAATGGGACTTGTACGTTGTCTCCGTGGACGACGTGAAGGGGGATTCGACGGCTGACGGGGCGCCGCAGTGGAGCCTGAGGAGGATGTGGGAAGTGCAGGGGAACGAGGGCATGCAGGGCGTGGGGGTGGTGCTGCCGTTGTTGGGCAGCATCAGAGTCAGCGTGGGTGGGGGAAATCCCTTTTTTGGGTGACACAAGTTGCCTTTGTACTTTTGTTGTACTTCTTCCTCCGCTCCCATCTCATGTCTATTATCGTTACAAGGCTACACCTGCACTCTAGAATGTTCTGGGAGCAAGCAGTTAACAATGTGTTTTGACAGTGGTTGTCCTAAATGTCTCCCCATGGAAGGTGCACCTCCATCAGCATAATTCTCGTCTTGGAGCAAATCAGTGCTGTGCTGCAGAGCAGGCTACTGCTACGGCTGCCTGTGGAGGAGTGTCCTCTCGCAGCACAATACCCATCCAACAGCCATTGGATGCTGCAACCCAAACGCCCACCCCTGTGCTATTCCTCGCACTCTCCCCGGGCTCACGAGAGCAGCTGCTGACTGCCTCACAGTCTGGTTGCTCCCCGCAACACACCTGTGCTGCTGCCATGCTGTGCCCGACCGTACAGCGCACGCCATGGGCGTGGGTATGCGGTGACGGCGTGCGCTACACGGAGGAGGCGAAGGGCAGCAGCGAACTGTTGAAGAGGAACGACTTCTGCATGAGGCGCTCCACGCCGTCTGGCGCCCAGTGGTACGTCGGCATCGTGCACAGATCCTCCCTGCTCCACGCCCAGGGGTGCACCGGGGGGGTTGTGGGGGGAGAGAATGTGGGAGAGCAAAGGGACACAGTGGCAGTGAGCACCCGTTGCACAAGATTGCGTTTTAGTCTTGAAGGAAAGACGACACATGTTTATGAGAGTCAAGGGAGGGTGGGGGGGAGGGAGTATGAGGTGGGAGGGCAGGGGACAGCGATGTGACGATGATGCATGCACATGGCACTACTGGCCTCCCTCCCGCACATCTCCCCCTTCTTCCAAGCTCATGTGTCGGTGCGATGAAGCCCCAGTGTGATGTGGCGCACGGCAGCACGAACCTGTGGGGCAGGAGGAACTTGGCGTAGGTGGTTCGCACGGTGGAGGAAAGGCGCTGGCGCATGTTGCGGCGGCACTCGTCGTTGGTGAAGCTCCAGTCCTTCTGCTCCAGGGCCAGCTCCTCAAACGCCACGTTGAACACTCGCAGCCTGGGGAGCCAGGGGCACAGGAGGGAGGAAAGGAATGCGCACATGTGGCATGCGCCGGTAAGGGATGGCAAGGATGGCGAAAAATGGTATAGTATGGCCGCTTCAATGGTTCGTTTACCTGCAGTCCCTGCCCTCTCTGGCTGACCTCCCGGCTCTCACCTCTTAATCACTTCATTGTCATCGATGCTGCTGCTATCGCCCGGCCCCAGTGCGTCCAGAATCTGATTGCAGTGCCCAGCCACGGACACAGGCACAGTGGGAACAGGCAGAGTGGGGGAGCGGAGGGGCACTAGGACTGCGAGGAGGGGCAGTGAGACGATGGCAGACATTTCCCTGATGGAGGACAAAGATGTGCTTTGCCCCACACGCCCTCGTGCCCCACACGCCATTCGTGCCCCACACGCCATTCGTGCCCCACACGCCCTCGTGCCCCACATGCTCTCCTTGCCAGACATACCCTCTTGAGCGCAAGGCTCTCAAAGGTGTCGCAGTGCTTCTCCAGCGCTGCATGCAAGGACGCGGCACACGGGTGCTGCTGCTTCTCCCTGCCGCACAGTATGCACCATGGGGAGAGAGGATTTGCAGGGTCATGGGAGCACAGAGAGCAGAGAGCAGAGAGCAGAGAGCAGAGAGCAGAGAGCAGAGAGCAGAGAGCAGAGAGCAGAGAGCAGAGAGCAGAGAGCAGAGAGCAGAGAGCAGAGAGCAGAGAGCAGAGAGCAGAGGGCAGAGCAGGGAAGCAAAGAGCAGGGGAGCATAGAGCAGGGAAGCAAAGAGCAGGGGAGCATAGAGCAGGGAAGCAAAGAGCAGGGGAGCAGAGAGCAGGGCAGCCAGGGGGCATGGACGGACGCGAAGGAGGCGAGGTAGTGGAGGTTGTTGATGAGGAAGATGGCACGCATGAGGTCGGAGGGACACGCCAGCCCCTTGACCTCCATGTTGGCCCGCACGCCCTCCAGCAGACGCCCCGTCTCGTGCTCCACACTCGCCCCCGCCTCAAACTCCCGCAGCGCCTCCTCCAAGATGCACCCGTAGCTGCCCGCATGCGACCTGCACTGGGGGGAGGGGGTGTACAGGGGGCAGAGGGAGCAGGGGACGCATGACATGAGAGGAGTGCGCGAGAACCTGACTAGGATGAGGCAGAGACGCAGAGGCCATACAGGCATAGAGCAGGGCTGCAATGAGGTGCGGAGGGCAGATGCCCTTCACATGTCCGCCAACTGCTTGTGTGCCGCTGCTGCCTCATAGCCTCATGACGCAAACAGCCCTCATTCTCACCACATGACTTGCACCCGCATTGCCACCACATGACTTGCACCCGCATTGCCACCACATGACTTACACCCGCATTGCCACCACATGACTTGCACCCACATTGCCACCACATGACTTGCACCTGCATTGCCACCGCATGACTTGCAACCCCACGGTGGCGGCATGGGTTGCGGGCGCGCACCTGTCCTGGAACTGTCGGAGGTAGTTGACCACGTAGCTCGTCACAGGGTGCACCGCCACACTGCTCGGAGCCCCCTCCCCCGCCGCTGCCCCCTGCGCTTTCTTGCGCCCGGGACGAGGCAGGCTGGTGGGGTCATGGCACGTGGAACAAGGGGGTGCGAGTGACAGAAGGGGTGAGTAGGAATTGGTGGTGAGGTCGAGAGTGGAAGGGAGATGGGGGGTAGGCAGAGGGAGGGAGATAAACCCTGATGGAGACGAAGGAACGGTTCAGTACTTCGAAACTCAACACTCTTACACTTTCCATAACTCATTTCGAGATCGAGGAGACTCAATACTCTTAGACTCTTCAAAACTCTGGAAACGAGCAGGCTCAATATTTGCCTACTTCATTTCAAGGATGGTGAGGAGGCAGGCACGAGCGCACGGTAGAGTGGGCATGGCGGGGAGTGGAGTGGGCGCACTGACCGCAGTCTGGAGCCGAGGGACTTCTTGGGCGTGGAGGGCGGCGGCTTGGCGCCCTGCTCCAGCATGCAGTGCAGCTCCTCCAGACTCCTCGTTGCCGCCCCGGCCGCCCTCCCAGGCAGCGCACCCCATGCGTCCGATAGACTCGCTGGCGCCACCTCGTTCATCTGCGGGGAGAAGGGGGTGGGGGGGGGAAGAGAAGGACAGAGAAAGAAAGAGGAAGGAGAGCGAAGTGGGAATGGGAGCATAGGCACCATGATTAAAGCATCCATCAGCACCCCTTTCCATCTTTCTGATTCGGTCACTCCACCACCACGACCCTGAGCTTTCTCCATCGCTCCACCACACAGGTGAACCATCCACCCTCGACCTTGCTGGCCAGAACACATCCAGAGCACAGCACACGCAGCAGCGCACCAAACCACTGTCTGTGTCTCCCTCCCTTCCCCCACTGCAACCAGCGAGGACATGTGCCACAGCAGCACACATGCCACAGCCCAGCATGCACGGAACTGCAGCCCCTTCACACCTCTTGTGAAACTTGACGCCCTTGTCTCTGCCCCTGCCCCTGCCCCTGCCCGTACCCGTGCCTGTGCCAGTGCCCGTGCCCGTGCCCCTTCCCCCCCTCACGTTGTCGACGGTGGAGCGCAGCAGCCAGTACATGTCGAGCAGCACGAAGATCTTCTCAGGCGCGGGCGCGGTGTGCAGCAGCGCGGTGGCGCTGGCACGCAGGTGGAAGAGCGCCGTGAGCAGCCCTGCCTCCACCACGATGTCCGCCAGCAGCGCCGTCGGCGTCGGCAGCTTCGCCGCCAGCGACGGCAGGCGCGCCAGGGTAGGGCGCGCAGGGCCGGGGGGGGCAGAGAGCGCAAAGGAGGGGATGTCCTTGAAGATGGCCGCCAGCAGCGCGCGCTCCCGCTGCACCAGCACCAGCGCCTTGGGGGGGGGGAAAGGGGGGGGGGGGGGCCAGCAGAGGGGGAGAGGGAAGACGAGGAGGGAAGTCATAGGAGGAAAGGGGAGCGCGGTTCAGAGAGGACAGTGGAGTTGTAGGAAGCATGGAGGTAAGTGGGCTTGGGGGGAGGGGGGAGGATATGGAGGAGGTGAGATGAGGGGAGACAGGAAGGCATGGTGTAGAAGTCGCAGGAGAGGAAGACGGGGCATGGGAATGTGTGACATGGGGATGTACGGCATCGGGATGTGTGTCTATGTTGGCATAAACGCGTTTCCGCGTTTTTGCGTTTCGTTCTAAACGCTTGCTTTCAGGACGCAAAACACAGGATTCCAGGCTTCAAATACGCTCGAAAAACGCCTGCCCGGGCAGGTGGGAAATTTGGCCCGGGCAGGGGACGCCATGCTAGGGGCTGGAAGTCGGGTAGCTTAGGTGCTGAAAGGAAGAACGTAAGAGTACTAGATCGTCAGTGCATGTAAGGTGAGCGAATTTCTCATCTACAGATAGATCTGGATCAAGCGGGGGGGAATGGGTTGGGATTTTCAACACGTTGGGAAAAGGGAGGGAGGGATTGATGAGTTATCGTGTCGCTATGAAAAGTTTCGCGACTGCACGAAGACGAATTTGCGACGCGCGAAACGTGTTGGCGTTTCGCGACGCGCGGCGAAATGTGTTTTCCATTTGCGACTTCGTCGGTTTTTTTGTTCCGGCCAGCCCAAAAAAAACCAAGGTGCGTTCGAGCATTTTGATGCGTTTTTGCGTATTGCGTTTAAAGCCCGCGTCTCATATTTCCTAAGGTAATACGCTTGGTACAAGGTAACGTAGCTGCTCTTTGTGCGAGAGCTCGCAAGTGAGTGCGAGAGTAGATTTCCAACCTCAGCAAACGAGCATAACGACGCGTTCGCAGTAAGCAAGGTTTCGTTTCTCGGGATGGTTACACGGAATCAGGACCCGAAAGTGATTCACGCCACAAAATTTCGGCCCAAACTTACACTGGAATTGCAACTGATTTCGAAACTTTGAGAACCCGACACTCACCACCCACGCCCTCAACGTTTCGTGAGCTCAAACCAAAGGTAATACGGGTCCGCAGAAATACGAGACTCGAACCCTCATCAAATTTGGACCTTACACGATTTCCAAAATAGTCGCAACCCTCGCCCACTCTCTTTCAAAATTTCGCCCCTCGCCCCCCAATCAGACCCTCCCACCAAAGGTAATACCTTTGGTCGGTAAGAAATATGAGACGCGGGCTTTAAACGATTGCGTTTAAACGCAAAACGCAAACTCACAAAAGCGTTTTTGTCAACATAGATGTGTGTGTGTCTGCATGCTTTTCCGTGTGCATGTATGCATGTGTGTACGTGTGCATGAAGGCATGTGTGCATGTGTGCATGTATGCATTTGGATGTATGCATGTTTGCATGAGTGCATGTGTGCATGTGTGCATGAGTGCATGTGTGCATGTGTGCATGTGTGCATGTGTGCATGTGTGCATGTGTGCGTGTCTGTGTGTGTCACTGACTGCCAGGGGGAAGCCACAGAGGAGAGCCAGCAGGGTTATGGCATGGGTGTATCATGTATGCATCTCTCACCAGCGCATGGGCCTGCGAGAGCCACGTCTTGAACATGGGTTCCACGGCGCCCCACGCCTGCCCCTCCAGCGCGCCCGCACTGACTGCCAGGCGCACATTCGCGTCCTTCACCGCCTGCCGCACCACCTCCATGCGCATGCCGCTGCCGCCCAGCCATGGCAGCGAGGCGCATAGGGAATGTGATGTTGATGCATGGGGCATGGGGGACAGAAGTGACGCCATGATCTCACATGTGAAGAACAAAGCAGAATGCGACGCCCATTGGTATGAGCACGGCCACTGTCGCACAAGCTTCATACACCTCAGCGCGCTTCCAAAGTTGCTTCGGGTCACTTTCTGAGTCGCGAATCGCATGACAAAAACACTTTATACACGGTCATTTCATACACCTGAAATGAAATCGTGAGCAGATGTCCACTGTGACGAAAAATATTTTTGGGACTCGATTCGAATGTGGCTCGTCATGTCGAAAAAAACACACATCCCCAGGCAAATGTGCAAGTTTGGACACGAAAACACACGATTTTTTTGCACGTCGGACAGTCTGCCCGATTTTTCAGAGTCTCGGTTTTGTTACTCGAACTGAACGCGAGTGTGCCATTTCAGTTATGCAAAAGCGTACCCAGCTTGAGCCGAAATCCTCGAGTGGCACTTTGGAAGCGCCCTCAGGCGCACCAGCATACCTCAACACAGGCTGCAATCACGGGTAGCTGCAAAGATCGAACAGAGTGGGGCTCTCGCACCCACCAAACACCTCACAGCCACCAAGCATGGTGCAACACTCGACACTCACCCACCCACCATCGTTTCGTCACTCACATCAAGCTCGCACCACAGCCATCCCTCCCTCCTCCACACTTACACACAACGCTCCTCGCCCCCCTCACCCCTGTGTCCGCATGCACTCACGCATAGCTGGCGAGGCAGTCCTCCAGCCCGCCCCTGTCCGCTATCTGCTTCACCAGCGCCCTCATCTTGATCGCCTCGCGCTCCACCTCGCCCCCCCACTCCTCCTCCGCGCCCTCCCCATAGCGCATGCTACCCAGGCGCCCGCTGCCCAGGTGGATGGAGCTCGTCCTGCTCTCCGCAATGCTGTCCCCCCTCGTCACCCACCCCTCCTCCGACCTCTCGCCCTCATCCCCCTCGTCCGCGTCATCCTCGATGCCGTCCTCGTCGGCGTAGATGGCGTCCAGCATCGGGTCGTCGAACAGTGAGTTCGCGATGGACGCGCGCGACCCTGTGTGCGTGTGCCGCGGGCCGCCAGGCGCGCGCTCCCCCGAAGGCGACTCAAGCACCGGGGCGGAGGGGGAGGAGTGGACGAGGGGGGCGGAGGAGACGGAGACAGTGGTGAGCAGGGAGCAGGAGGAGGCGTCGCTGCTGCTGGACAGCGTGCGCCGGCTCGCCCTGCCCGGAAACAGCAGCCCTGCGCCCTCGCGCGCCCTGTCCCCAGCAAAGCGCAGGCGGATGGCCGTCCGCGTGCCCGAGGTGTCGGCGGCAGGGAGGAGGGACTTGGGAGGCGGGGACGCGACGCTGGAGGACGAGGGGAACACGGGCGAGCGCTGCTTGGGGGACGGCGCTGCGGGGGTGGCGGCCTTGGGGGGAGGGGAAGGGGGATGCATGTCCGCAAGGGGGGAGAACTCGTTGCCCCAGAGGAGGATGCTGGAGGCATGGGCGGGAGAGAGGATAGGGGGGAGCGGGAACAGGGGAGAGGGGAGGAAGTGGGCACGCATGAGGGGTTGCGAGCAAGCAAGACGTGGCGCGCGTGTGAGGGGAGAGCGGACGGTCCAGAGGGAGGTTATGGGTGATGAGATAGAGCGTGGGCAGCAAGACGAGGCGCGGCGTGAGGGAGTTTCACTTGGGGAATCAGCACGGGCTACTGCCTCTGTTGCCAGGCCGAAAGGAAGGGGAGAGTTGGGGTTGCAGGCACATGCTTGTCAATGGTAGTGTGCTGCCCTCCGTTCTGGGGCTGAGCTCGCTGGTGTGGGTGAGAAGCCACATACTTTGCCAGTCCTCTTAAGCACATGTATGTCCTTCCAGCTCAGCACCACATTGCGGCAGCGAGGGCATGAGTGCACCGGCCAAATTCACGCTTGAGCCCATGTGCACATGCATGGCAGTGGTAGCCCATGTGCACATGCATGGCAACGGTGGCCCATGTGCACATGCATGGCAACAGTAGCAGGACATGTGACATGGCAGCACCCATGCATGCGCTCACCCCAGCTGCTGTGTGCCTTCCTCGAATCTCCTCAGCAGAACATCCATTCGCGGCGGCGACCCTGTCTCCTCCCCCTCCTCTTCCCCCTCCCCCCGTTCCTTCCCCGCCTCCCTCCCCCCACCGCCCCTTCTATCGGCGCCAGCAGGCAGGGCGCCATTATGGAGGGGGGCGGGCAGGGCAGCTGGGTGGGCGGAGCTGGAAGGTGGCGCAGCGACGGGCGCGGAGGCATCAGGGGAGGAGGGGGCAATGGGGGCTGATGAGCACCGAGTGGCGTTGCCGGAATCCAGGTCCTCCGCCTGGTGGGGTACAGAGGGGGGGAATGGGAGGGGAAGAGGGGGGGGGGGAGTGGGGGAGATGGAGGGGAGTGTGGGGAACGCGTGCGGTAAGGAGAGAAAGGGAAGAGCGCTTGAGTCTGAACAGAGGCGGAGGAACCAGGGGGGAAAGGGAAGAGGAGAACAGAGGCAATGGGGGACCACGAGGAGCGGAGCAAGAGAAACGCATTGGTGGCACGTGCGCCAGTGCTCCCGCGCGCACGCCACAGCCTCTGTTCCCCCTTGCTGCTGAGGCGAGGCAACCCCAAATGGTGGCACCCCATCGCTCTTTCACACACGCATGCACCCGTGCCACGTGGCAGTAAGGCGAAGAGCGTCGTGTCATGTCATGCCCTCGCATTGTGCTCCGGCCATTTCGCCTGCGTGCCCCCAACAAACTGCTTCACGCACGGACCCCCCCCCTTCCCAGTCATCCCCTGTTCGACTCCACCCCTTGCCTTCCCGCTCCCTCCTCCTCTCTCCACTCCCTGCGTTCGCTCCCCCCCCCCCTCCTTTCCAGCCCTTCGTTACAGTCACCTCGCACCGCCCCCCCGCACTCACGATCTTCGCCATGCGCATCACCGCGTTGCCCCCCGAGCTCGTGCGCTGCGGCCGCATCGACCCCTTCTCCTTGCGCGGGCGAAATGCCGCCCCCGGGGGCGGCTTGAGGCCAGCGGAGGAGGAGGACGGGGAGCGCAGGGAAGGCGCAGTGGGGGACTCGAGCGGCTGCGCCACGCGTGTTTCCGCCAGCTCCTGCGGCGGCGCGGAGTGCGTTCGGTTGAGATGGCGGCTTGCGCCCGACGCATCCCCAGGAGTGCGGTCCAGACGCGAGGGGAACTTGGGCAGCGGAACGATGCCCACCCCACGGCCCGTCGCAGAGGCTGGGCGGCGGAAAGTGGGGGACGGGTTGGCGGAAGGGGAAGCGGCGGGGGAATGCTCGGATGGCGGCGGGTGGTCGGGGGAAGGGTCTAGGCGGACGTTGGGGGGTTTGTCTGCCAGACCCATGGGGATCTGACCCAGGGAGGGTATCGAGACACTCCTTAACGAGGTTATGATATCAGCGGATTCCTTAGGGTACGACGAGATACTTCTACAGGACGCCTAGGCAGTTGTCGTCGTCACACCTAACTGGCAGTTATGCTAGGAGGAACTGCAGCGCTGAGAGAAAATGCGGCCGAATAACACACGCGACGAGCTGCCGCGAAACGAGGCAGCTAGGAGGTAAGGGAAACAGAGGCGAGGCGAGAAGCGAGGAGCTGTACAGCATTGGTGGGTGAGATGCGAAGCGTGCGCAGTAACTGGGGAAAGATGCATTCTCCACTGCAGGTTGAGTTCGCTCTCCTTGTCACTGCTGATGAGCGTAGGTTGAGCAATGGGGTCAAACAAAGCTGGCGGGTTTGGGAAAATTGCCACCGAGGGCGCGCTCGAAATTTGATCAGGGTCGTCGACACTATACCAGCACTTGAAACACTCCTAGACCCAATCACAGTTTCACTGACCCCAGGCCCCACAGTTATTTCCCACGCGGAGGACTTGGAAACGAGCTCTCGGCTCGGAAGGTCAAGGCCTACGCGGCCCTAGCAGCAAGAAAATCACACGTGCCCTCCCTCGTCGTGAACCGTACTGAAGGGTAACAGCATTTTAGCAGTGGGCTTTTGTGCCTGGTCTTGGGGGAGGTAGTCATGCTGGAAATCCGCGTTGGTAGCAGACCCGTTAGTGCACGTGTAGGGACACGCCCAAGTGATGTGTGAAACGGTCGTGTAGTGTGCTATGAGTGTAAGGAGAGGTTTGACAAAAAACTAAGTGAGCTATAATAGACCGCGCTAAATGAGCATATCGTGTTTGCCCAGATATATAATCAGGGGGTATTCTAACGTGTAGAATGCATACTCCGGCGTGCTTATTCTGATCGGGCAAGTAAATCAAGCACGGAGCAGGGCTTCATATTGGATTTTGAGGGTGTTGGAAATACCTCAAGGACTTGAGCGTTTCTGAAGTGTAACACCACACTCGAGGAAGATCGTAACGGGTTCGCGAGTCAACGGGGGTTACACGAGGGGCTGGACTAAGGACACGAAAGGACTCGAAGGGTCGCAATCGGAGGTTGCGACTGACCGTTACAAATGCAAGGATGGTAATGGTAACCGAAGCGACAATCGAGTCGCTGTGCGACTCGATAACCGCTCCTTCTGTCAAACATGTGTATTTGTCATGTTTGTATAGACTGTATAGGGTCGCCTCTTAGAGAGTACAACACTTAGGTATATCTTTGTGTACTCTCACTCTATCCATCATTCAATTTTCAATTCTGATATGGTATCACGCGTAGGTAGGATCCCCCCCCACCTACCGCTTCCGCTCACCCCTCTAGCCCCTAGCCTAGTCGCGACCCCCCCTAGCCCCGTCGCGCCCCTCACTGGGCCCCGTCACGCTCCTCCCAGGCCCCGTTGCGCCCCTCCTGGGCCCCTGTAGCGCCCCTCCTGGGCCCCGTCGCGTCCTCCCTGGACCCCGTCGCGCCCCTCCTGGGCTTCGTAGCGCCCCTCTTGGGCCCCGTAGCGCCCCTCCCAGGCCCCGTCGCGCCCCTCCCAGGCCCCGTCGCGCCCCTCCCAGGCCCCCTAGCGCCCCTCCTGGGCCCCGTCGCGCTCCTCCCAGGCCCCGTAGCGCCCCTCCTGGGCCCCGTAGCGCCCCTCCTGGGCCCCGTTGCGCCCCTCCCAGGCCCCGTCGCGCCCCTCCTGGGCTTCGTAGCGCCCCTACTGGGCCCCGTCGCGCCCCTCCTGGGCCCCGTAGCGCCCCTCCTGGGCCCCGTCGCGCCCTCCCTGGGCCCTGTAGCGCCCCTCCTGGGCCCCGTCGCGCCCCTCCCAGGCCCCGTCGCGCCCCTCCTAGGCCCCGTCGCGCCCCTCCTGGGCCTCGTCGCGCCCCTCCTGGACTTCGTAGCGCCCCTCCTGGGCCCCGTTGCGCCCCTCCTGGGCCCCCGTCGTGCCCCTCCTGGGCCCCGTAGCGCCCCTCCTGGGCCGCGTCGTACCCCCCCCCGGTCCCGTCGCACCCTGCCCGGCCCCGTCGCGCCCGCCCGGCGCCGTCGCAGCCGCCTGGCCCCGTCGCACCCTGCCCGGCCCCGTCGCAGCCGCCCGGCCCCGTCGTGCCCGCCCGGCCCCGTCGCACCCTGCCCGGCCTCCGTCGCAGCCGCCTGGCCCAGTCGCACCCGCCCGGCCGCCGTCCCGCTCGCCCGGCCCCGTCGCACGGGCCCGGCCCTGCCGCACTCGCCCGGCCCCGTCGCCCCAGCCCGGCCCCGTCGCGCCCGCTCGGCCCCGTCGCCCCGTCCCGGCCCTGTCGCACCAGCCCGGCCCCGTCGCGCCCGCCCGGCCCCGTCGGGTCAGCCCCGGCCCCGTCCTCCTTCCTGGTACGGTTCCCCCCCCCACCCCGCCCTGCTCCGTGCCGCCCCGCATCACACTGTACTGCCTGGCACCGCACTACACCGCACTGCACCGCACTGTACCGCACTGCACCGCCCTGCACCGCACTGCACCGCACTACACCGCACTGTACTGCACTGCACCGCACTGTACCGCACTGCACCGCACCCCACCTAGCTGCACTGCCCTGCACCGCACTGGACTGTTCCTGATGGCGGCGGAGCTTCGCTTCGACGCTGAAGGTCAGCCCCTAGAGTTCGAGGCGTGGCTTGCCGACCTCCGCCGCCAACTCACTGGCCAGCGGCAGGATGGTGAACCGCTTTCCGCACACCTTGACGGTACGCTCCCCTGCCCAGAACCCCCGGCTATTCTGCCCGCTGACCCCACACCCACTGAGCGTGAGTCTACTGCTGCCTCTGCCCGTGCGCGCTCTGTCTGGCTTTCTCGCGATGCTGTCGCCCAGCTTGCCATTAGCAACGCCCTCCCCCCATCCGAGCGTCCTCGCTTTAGGTCCCTCACTACTGCTCAGGCATACTTAGATGCTGTCATCAAGCGCTATTCCACCCCTCCGGCTGCCTCGGTGGGTCGCCTGATCCTCCCGATGCTCTTTCCTGACCTTGCATCTTTCCCCACTGTCTCTGACCTCGCTACCCACCTGCGCTCGATAGAGGAGACCTGGCGCGCCGCCTGCACTGACGCACAGCTTCGAGCCCACCAGCCGCCCATTACCTCTACCCTCTACCTGCTTGCCACCCGCCTCCCTGACCGCCTTGCTGTCGCCCGCGACCGCTTCCTTAGCATTCACCCCGCAAACCTCACCCTCACAGACTTTGTCGACACCCTGACTGTGATAGAGACCCGCCACCGCTCCATCGCCCAGGCCAGCGGTACCGTCCCGGTCCCTATCTTTCAGGGTTGTGCCCCCGCTCAGTGTACCTTCTCCGACGGCTCTGCCGCTGTGGCTGAGACTGCTGCTGCAGCGCAGTTTCGTTCGGGGAAGGGCCGCCGCCCCAAGGTTGGGCGCGGCGGAGGAGGCGGGGGTGCGGGAGTGGGTGGTGGTGGGGTCGGGTCGTCTGGTGCTGGAGCGGACGAGGGGACCCTGCCCAGTCCAGCAGAGCCGCCGCCCCTGCAGTTGCAGCAGCCGCAGCAGCCGCCGCAGTCGCAGCCTTCGCAGCAGCCGTCGCAGACGCGGCAGACGAGTGTCCTCCCGCCCGGGTGGCCCGGCGCTGGCGGTGGTCGGGCGCGTGGTGGTGTGCCGAATGGTGGCTCGGGCGGCGGGCGTTGTCAGTACCAGATCCAGACCGGTCCTCGCCGCGGCTTCGTTTGCGGCAAGATCGGTCACTCCACTCCCCGCTGTTTTCGTCGCCTGGACGACCTCTTTCGTCAGCGCTTCGGCCCGTCGCCAGACCTCTCGGACTGGCATAGTTTGCTTAGTCGTAAGATTCAGATTTTTGATCTTGACATGGATGCCATTGTTTCTGCTCTGCATGTGATGTATGCTGATGACTCTAGTGTGCTTCCCGCTTATTACTCACTGTTGCCTAGTGTAGGTGTGCCTAGCTTAGCCTCCCCTGCTGCGTCAGGCGTAGGATCCCCTGCTTTGTGTAGCCTTGGTGCTTCCGCCGTCGTTCCGTCGCCAGACGCCTCTGCTTCGCTTTCCTTCACCTTGGACTCTGGCGCTTCTCGGTGCTTCTTCCGCGACTCCACTACCCTGACGCCGCTTCCTGTTCCTGCTGCTGTTTCTCTTGCTGACCCCTCCGGCAGTCCGGTAGTCGCCCGAAGTTCCACCACCCTTCCCTGTCCGGCGGTTCCTTCGGGCACTCTCACAGGTCTGCATATCCCCTCGTTCTCCAGGAACCTAGTTGGTGTCGGCTGCCTCCAGGACCTTGGCGTCACCACTACGTTCCCTGGTCACGAGCGGTATGCTGTCTGTACCGAGGCCGCCACTGGTGCCCCCCTGTCCACGTTCCCCCGGGACCCGGTGTCCGGCCTGTTCACTCTGGACACCGTGACCCCCCCGGCTGGAGCGCCCCCTCAGGTGGCTGCGTCTACCCAGGTAGCTACTGCCTGCTCCTGTCGGTCCCTCACTCACCCGACTCTCCTTTGGCACCACCGTCTCGGTCACCCTGCGCTCCCGCGTCTGCGTCACATGTCCCAGCACGGTCTTGTCCTTGGTCTCCCAGGTTCTCTCCCCGCGTTTCCCTCCTCCCCCGCCCCCCCTTGCACGCCTTGTGTCGAGGGTCGGCTTCGCCGTGCCCCTCACTCCTCCTCGTTTCCCCCTACCGCCGCGCCGCTGCAGACCCTGCACCTGGACGTCTGGGGTCCCGCCCCCGTCCCTGGGCCGCGTCGAGAGCGCTACTTCCTTGTGCTTGTCGACGACTTCACTCGTTACACCACAGTCTTTCCCCTGGAGCGCAAGGCCGACGTGCCTGGCGCTCTCATCCCCTGGCTTGTCTCTGCGCGTGTCCACCGCGGTCTCCCTGTCTTGCGTCTTCACTCAGACCGTGGTGGCGAGTTTGCCTCAGGTGTCCTTGGTCGCTTTTGTTGTGCGGAGGGCATCACCCAGACGTTCACCCTACCGGACTCCCCACAGCAGAATGGGGTCGCTGAGCGACGCATCGGTTTGGTCATGGAGGTGGCTCGCACCTCCATGATCCATGCCGGTGCACCCCATTTTCTGTGGCCGTTCGCTGTGCGCTACGCGTCTCACCAGCTTAACCTGTGGCCGCACCCTCAGCAGCCACAGGTTTCGCCGACCCGTCTGTGGATTGGGTCTCCTGGTGACGCGTCTGCGTTCCACGTCTGGGGCTGCCTTGCTCACGTTCGTGCCTCCGGCACGGACAAGCTCACTGCCCGCACCCTTCCCTGCGTCTTCCTCGGTTTTCCCCTTGACGCGTCCGACTGACACTTTTACCACCCGCCGTCTCAACGCTTCTTTCACTCTCGTGCATCACCTTTGACGAGTCCGTCTCCTACTACCGTTGCTTCCCCCACCATGGTCCCCCGGTTACCCCCCCCCTGTTCCTGGTCACTCCTTCCCCGGTAGTCCCTGCCCCTCCTCCTCCTCCTCCCCATCCCGCCCCCTCTGGTGTGTCCCACGTCACCCCCCTTCCGTCGGTAGACCCGGTTGAGGAGTC